TTGCCATTACCATCAAAACTTTTCTTTTTGCTTACATTTGCCTGGTATATTTTAATTCTTTTTACTTTCAGCTTTTTGAGTTCCTTTGGTTTAGACATCTCTTAAAAAGCATGTAGTTGTTTGGCTTTTTAAATCAATCTGAATCTTTATTCTTTCTTTTTTATTATTTATTATTATTTATGCCTACAGCACCTGGTCTTCCTAGGTGGTCTCCCATACAAGTACTAACCAGGACGCTGCTTAGCTTCCGAGATCAGACATCGGGCTTGTTCAGGGTGGCATGGCCGTAGACCATGGACCGTGGCTCCATTGGGGCATGAACCCAGGACCTTCCGCATGTAAAGCAGACGTGCTAACTGCTACACTATGGAACTACGTCCTTTATTCTTTCTTTTAATAGACGAATTCATCTGATATATGTTTATTATACTAAATGTTTTATCTTGTTTCCATCATCTGTGTGTGTGTGTTTCCTTATTAATCTTTTATTGTGTGGTCTTTCAAAAAATTCCTCTGGTTCTTATGGCCTACTGCATATTTTGGAAGCAATATAGTATACTGTTTTTAGTTGTATTAAACATATAAATAGTATTAATAAACTTACATTTTTTAATTTACCAGCCTTAGAAGCAAAATTAGGATACTTCTTTTGTCTTGGTCCACTACAACCAGAACACTGTTATTTTTACACTGGGGGCCTTTAAAATTTTTAAGTTAGAAACTGTTTTATAGCTGTGGTTATCATTGTTGTTTAAACTCAATTGCCGTTATCACTAAGGTAAATACTTACTGCCAGTCTTTATACCACAACTTCTCCATTAGAAAGTTCTTTATATTGATTTATCTTTAATTGGCTAAAGTAGGTCTTCAAGTGGATTATTTTTAAGGAATATGCATAAATTTTGTAATTCCTAATTGCTTTTACATGAATGACATCCCAGTTAAGTAAAGAATTCTCTTGATTGTTTTAATGTTTCTTTATCTTCTGGAATCAATTGTTTTTGAGAACTCTGAGGCTAACCTGATTTTTCCTCCCTTTGTAGAAGAAATTTAGTATGTTCATTAAGTTATTTCTTCATCTGGATGATTCTTTGTTGATTTTTGTTTCCCATTGACACTGTAAGCCCTTTGGATCTATAGACCGAGGTCTTCTTTCATTTCAGGATAGTACTCTATTTTTTATTTCAGGAAATTTTCTTTTGTTCAATTTTTGTAGTTTTGTTTTTTTTCTGTTACCATTTTTCTTCTCTCTTCTTTAAGAGTATCAGTTATTCATATGTTGGCTTCCCATTTTCTTTATTCCATCCATATCATCTCACTAATCACTTTTATCTCTTTGCAACCTGTGTGCGTTTTCTGAAACCCATCCTTCATATCATTCATTTCCTTTTCAGCAGTATAATTTCAACATTTTGCATCTCTGGTTTTCATTTCTATAATTTTATTCTTTTACTCAGTTTCTTATGACTGCCAGCACATTTTTTACTTTGCCATTGTTTTATCTTTTCTTTGATCTCTTGTTTTTTGAATCACACAGACTCTGTCTTTTTTGAAAATATAGAAGCTTTTGTTGGAAATTTTCTTCTGTTTTCTGGAGACTTTCTTTGAAAGGGTGCATTTCTTTCTCTTTCTTTCTTTTTCTTTTTTTTTCATTTGTTTGTGTCTTGTATTCTTTCTGTAGTATCTATGCATAGATCCCATTTGGATCCTTTTTGTTTATTACTAATTTTGAATGGAGTAGTTCTGTCATGACTTGCTATTTACCAAAGAACAATGTAGGTAAATTCTCACTGACCTATATTTACCTTGACATTGTTGTATTCTATCTTCAGTATATGATTTTTATGTTGTATCCTCAGCACCTGAGTCAGAGGGTTGGCTGTTGTTATAGTTTATAATCTGCTTAGATTGTAGCTTCTTTAAGAGAGATAGTTGGGAACTTTAATTTGTATGATATTTCTTAAGGAGTTTGTATTACCACACATCGCCACTGATGCTGATGATTTCTTTATCCTCAAGACATAGAAAGACCTGTTGGAGGATCCCTCCAGGGATTTGAGCTATTTTTTCCCCTTTGTCACAGACAAGCAGGTTATTTGACCAGAAAACTATGCCCTTGCACAGTTCTATGTTGCTTAGGTTTTTGGTTTGGTAATTAATGTTTTGTTTATCTCTGTCCATTTACTTTGGTCCATGATTGCACAACTAATTTCCTGGGTTCGAAGAAAATGAAGATTCGTGACTATGTTTAGTCTATTCTTCAATGTGGAAAAGGTCTCTTAACATAGTAGAATGTTCCTTATTGGCCCAAAGCCTACCACCTCCCCCATCCAGGTGAAAAATTAATGGCATGGCACTAGAGAACTGTTTTACTTATTTTTGAATAAATCTGTTCCTTGACTAATATTCACAAAGATATATGTTAGCTCTAGGCATTCATTGCAGTATCCTTGCAAGAAAACTTATGAGCTTTAAATTAAATAATGTAAATAAAGCACTTAGTATGTGCTTGGCACATAGTATGCGTTTAATAAATGGTAGCTTTATTATTATTTATTATCAGTTCCACTAGCATGTAAATTCCATAAGGGCAGGGACTTTGTCTGTCTTGCTTATTTATTATATTACCAGTTTCTAGAACAGTGCCTGACATATGGAAGATGTTTAGTAATTATTGTTGAATGAATGAATGAATGAATGATCAAGGAGCTTAGGTTGCTAGTTAGGAAGGGTGGGGGTGATGGGAGGAAATACAGGAAAATAGAAAACTCTGAGCCAATGCAAGTAGCTTTTGCCTTCTACTCATTTGTATGTCTCTGTATGCAGGGGCTGCCATTTTAGGGGGTGCTGATGGATACCTGCGGGGTCGGCTGTGTTGCCCTGGGGGAGGCCGGCCCCGTGGGGAACATGACTGTAGTAGACTCTCCTGGACAAGAGGTGCTAAACCAGCTTGATGGCAAGACCTCTTCAGAAACAACCAGTACGGAGACTTCTGTAGAGATGTCTTTACCCACACCTTTGTCTGGATTTGAGGATTCTCTTGATGAGAGGAAGTTCCTTCCAGAGCAGGAAAGCTTCTCCAGACTGGAACAGCAAGGTATGTACCTTGTTCTTTCATCTGTTTCTCTCCCCGTGCTTAGCTTAAGATGAAAGTGAGCAGGTTGAGCTCACAGGACCTTACAGGGTATGGTGTAGTCTACTCCAAAGAGGTGTGAGCTCTGGTCCCATCTCACAGACCCATATTCTTTTCTACAGATCTTTCTTCAGAGATGTCAAAGGTCTCAAAGCCTAAGGCCTCAAAGCCTGGCCGGAAGAGAGGTGGTAGGACACGGAAAGGCCCAAAAAGGCCCCAACAACCTAATCCTCCATCAGCTCCTCTGGTTCCTGGTCTCTTAGATCAATCCAAACCTCTATCCACTCCCATGCCTAAGAAACGAGGTCGTAAGTCCAAGGCAGAGCTGCTGCTGCTGAAGTTGTCAAAAGGCCTAGATCAGCCAGAGTCTCCACCTCCAAAGAGGCCCCCCGAGGACTTTGAGACCCCGCCTGGGGAACGACCCCGCCGAAGGGCTGCGCAAGTGTAAGGATTGTTGGGAACAGCTTGGTGGAGGGGGTTTGGGATGAAGGGATCAGGGTGGGGCAGATGTTGGAGTAATGAGAAGACTATGATGAGGCATCAGGTAAGTGGGGATGGCATCTGGGTTTTGGAGACTTGAACATTCTTCTTGCTCTGGCCACAACAGCTTTTTTCTGTTGCTAACTTTGTCTAGGAGGTTTCTTTCTGTACCTCGTATCCTATCACATTTTTCACAATTTCCCCCCAGGTCTTCATTGTAATTTTACCACCCAATATATATAAGTATATTTGTGCCCTTCCATTCTTTTCCTTTGCCCTCCATGATTTTTGACTGTGGCAGAGTGAAAAGTGCTATAGACTTAGGGTCAGAAGACCTGGGTTTAGATGCCACATATGTTATCTTGGACAAACCAGTTAACTTTCCTGGATTTCTGTTTTTTCATCTATCAGAAGGGAAGGGGAAATTAATAGCTGCTTCACAGGATTGCTGGGAGGATCCAGTGAGATAAGAATCAGCCAAGTGTCTGGAAAAGTGGGCTCTTAGTTAAGTGTTTGTGAGTATGGCTCTGACTCTGCCCCATCCTGCAGGGCACTTCTGTATCTTCAGGAACTGGCTGAAGAGCTCTCAACAGCCCTGCCTGCTCCAGTATCCTGTCCTGAGAGCCCCAAGGTGAGCAGCCCCACCAAACCAAAGAAAACTCGGCAACAGGCAACCTGTCAAGGTGGAGAAGAAGAGGATGACACTGCACGGGATGAAGACTTTGTTCTCCAGGTTGAGGCTGAAGATGGAGAAGAAAGTGAAGCCCCAAGTGAGAGCTCTTCTGACCCTGAGCCTGCCATGCCCCGAAGCACCCCACGAGGATCCACTTCAGCGGTAATCTGAATGGACAAGAAAGAAGATGGGGAAATAGTAGGATTATTAGGGGTGTCAGCAGAGTGCCCAGGAGGAAAGCTTTGGCCTAGTAACAGTGAGGGCCAAAAGAGGTAAAAGAAGAAAAGCACAACTTCAAATACAGTTGAAATGGCAGGGGCTGAGGGTATAAGTAAACAAGATTATTCATTTGTATACTGAGTATCTACTCTGTGCTAGGAAACACAAATGTGGATTAGACAGGAGTCCTGCCTCTCAAAGTTCAGTGTGCTAAGTGCTAGACTAGGAGTGAACAAAATGCTCTGGGCATATGGAGGAGGGCTGATTAACTGCTTAGGCTTCACAGAGGAATGGTATTTTAGCTAGGTCTTTTCTTTCCTTTTTTAAAAATAATTTTTTAATTTTTCAATTATAGTTGGCATACAATATTATATTAGATTTAGGTGTACAGCATAGTTATCAGACATTTATATAACTTATGAAGTGATCATCCCAACAGATATAGTACCCATCTTATACTATACATAGTTATTGCAGTATTATTGACTAAATTCCTTATGCCATACTTTGCATCCCCATGACTATTTTGTAATTACCAATTTGTACTTCTTAATCTCTTCTCCTTTTTCACCCACCCCCAAGCTAGGTCTTGAAAGGTGAATGAAAGTTTGCCATAGAGATTGGTTTTCCCAGGAATTGGTTATGGCTGCAGCATAGGGCTGGGTGTAAAGTGGTGGGGAGATTACACTAGAGAGGATGAAAGGACTAAGACTGGTAAGAGCCAACAAAGGTGTCTGTTTGTTTGTTTAATTGTGGTAAAAAATATATAACAAAACGTACCATCTAAAAAATGTACAGTTCAGTAGCATTTAGTGCCTTCACAGTGTTGTCGACCATCATCGCTATCCATTTCCAAGACTTTTTCATCATCCCAAATAGAAACTCTATACAACAAAGGTTTTTAAGTAGAAAAATAACACGGTCAGTTAAGAAAATAGATCAGTTTGCAGTTGACAATTAAAAGACAGTTTCAGTGATCCAGATGAGAGATCGTGAGGGCCTGAATCAAGCAGTGAAGGAGGAGGGGTGGAGGGTGCAGATTCAAGAGGCATATAAGAGAATTAATAGCACTTGGAAGTTGAAGGAAAAGAAGGCATGGGAGTTTCCAGTTCAGATGATGCTCTCATGCGCTGGTCTTGGGAACACAGGAGGAGTGGGGGATGCAGGAAGGGTGAAGGTCGACAGGGCCGGCGATGAGCTCACTTTCTGACATACTGAGTTGGGGGAGCCTGCGGGCCATCGCCATTCTAGGGATACCTGGTTGCCAGTCATACACAAAGGACCAGTGCCTTACTTGTCTCAAGTGCAACATTGAGGAGCAGCAGATTCCTCAGAAATCAAGATAAATATTTTGATGCAACATTTAAAAAAATCAAAATTCAACAAATCTATAATGAACAAAATATCAAAATTTTAAATAAAGACAGGAACTGTATTACTGATTTTTCCTTTTGCCTCATACTCTAGTATGGCTCAATGCCACCCTATAGGTCTAGAGTTTATAGAAAAGTTGAAACTGAATAAGTTTGAATTTTCTAAGATGTAAACTTGATAATCAGGTGTAATGATGGTGATCAAAGCCATGGGATATGGGATGAGATGACCAACAACATGTATATAGAGGGTTGCAAAAAAGTCAGGGGGGCTCTGGGCTATACCATCATCAGTCAAACCTGTCAGAGGAAGGAGAGCCTGTGAAGGAATATTAGAGAGGTGGGAGGAATAAGGAGAGACTCCATAGGACAAGAGTTGTAAGAAGTCAATGGGAATCTGTTGAATCAAGTGCATGCAGATGATCAGAAGATAGATAAAGGTTTTGCAGTTTTGATGGAGAGGAGTAGGAGCAGAAGGTAGAGAAGTCATTATATTGGTTGAAACAAATCTTTTAAGATTGTGGGCAGAGGTTAGAGAGGAAGTAGTACCAAGAAAAGTAAAAGATGTCTCCTAGGGACTTTCTCCAGCCTATAAAATTCTCACCTTTACACTTTCTTCAATTTGATCCTCAGAAGCAGAAGCCACACTGCCGGGGAGTGGCTCCCAATGGCTTACCAAATCACATCATGGCTCCTGTTTGGAAGTGCCTCCATCTCACCAAGGACCTGTGAGACTTGGGAAATGGGGATGGGATGAAAAGCTGGTGGTGGAGTGCAAAGGGTAATCTAGAAGTGGGGCCATGGGAAAGAGGGCAGAACAGTGAAGACATTCATAGGCAGGAGTTCTGGATATGTGCTGTCCAATATCGTAGCTACTAGCTTCACATGGCCCTTTAATTTTAAATTAATTAAAATTAAATAAACCCAAAAGTCTAGTTTCTCAGTTGCCCTAGCCATATTTCTAGTGTCCAGCTAGCAGCTAGTATATTGGACAGATAATAGATCACCTCCATCATCACAGAAACTTTTTTTGGACAACACTGCTCTAGAATTTCTCTTCTCCTTCATTAACACTTCTGTTCCCCCAGCCGAGAACAGAAGCATTCATACTGGGAGTTTGCAGAATGGATTCCGTTAGCCTGGAAGTGGCACTTGTTATCTGAACTGTAAGTTGAAGAGACATCTTTGAAGCCTAGAGGGGGTGACACCACTGATGTGGAAGGGTGACAGAGGGCTCTTGATTTGTGATGAATATCCTGGAATGGATGAAACTTCCAAGTTCAGGCTGTTGTTCCCTTTGCTTTCCCCTAGTGAGGCAGCTCCCTACTTGCCCCAGGAGGAGAAGTCTCCACTGTTTTCTGTACACCGGGAAGGACTTCCTGAAGATGGCACACTCTACCGAATAAACAGGTGAAGATTACATCAAAAGAGATTTTACATTTCTTTTTCTGATTCTAGGAGATATAAATAAGAAAAATGCATGTTGAAAGGGGTGACAGATTGGCCCAGTTCTTCCCCTGATGCTGGTCCACTTGGTCCCAAGGGTAAGAGTCCTGGCTAGACCTGGTCAGTCCCCTCTACTTTTCAGTGCTCATTGCTGCTGGCCAGACAAGGAAGCTAGGGAGATTGGGAGTTAAACCTGTTTACAAGGTCACATCTACTCAGCACATTCTCTGAGAGACTGGCCCTATAGAGAGCACTATAGTAAACAGAATGCACACCCTATCATCTCTGAAGGTGAGCTAGAGCGAGACTGACTTGGGGAAGGAAAGGAGGAAAATACAAATGGTGGCTAGGACTGTTGTCGACTGTGCTTGATATTCTGGCCCCTGCTTAAGCCAGTTCATACTAGCCCCCCATGGAGCTCCCATTCTGTCCTTATTACCATTTTTTTTAAGGCTTAATTTTTTTTAGAGCAGTTTAGGTTCACAGGAAAATTGAGAGGAAGGTACAGAGATTTCCTGTATACCGCTAGCCCCCATACTTGTATAACCTACCCTACTATCAGCATCCCCGACTAGAGTGGTACATTACAATTGATGAACATACACTGATATATCATAATCACTCAAAGTCCATACACTAGGGTTCATTTTTGGTGTATATTCTATGGGCTCAGACAAATATTTAATGACATGTATTCATCATTATAGTATCACACAGAATATTTTCATTGCCCTAAACATTCTGTGTGCTCCACCTATTTATCCTTCCTCCCCAAACCTGTCACTGATCTTTTTACTATCTCCAGAGTTTTGCCTTTTCCAGAATGTCATCTAGTTGGAATACAGTATGTAGCCTTTTCATATGGACTTCTTTCATTTAGTGATATGCATTTAAGGTTCTCCCATACCTTTTCATGGCTTGATATCAAGCTTATTTCTTTTTCGTGCCAAATAATATTCCATTGTCTGGATGTATCACAGTTTATTTATCCATTCACCTATGAAGTTTTTGTTATCTTTTATTAACTCCTTTCTTTATTCCACGTTTGACTTTTCTCTAGATTTAGCTCGATCACAGCACACCCAGAGCGCTGGGATGTGTCCTTCTTCACAGGGGGACCTCTCTGGGCTCTGGACTGGTGCCCAGTGCCAGAGGGGGCAGCAGCTTCACAGTATGTGGCCCTTTTCTCCAGCCCTGATATGAATGAGACACACCCACTGAGCCAACTTCATTCGGGCCCTGGGTTGCTTCAGCTCTGGGGCCTTGGGACCTTGCAGCAAGAAAGCTGGTGAGGTGGGGCTGGGACACTGCCATAGGAGGGTGGTTGAGGAGGAGAGAAAGATGGGGCTGGGCAGGAATGGGGACAGGTGTGAAGGGCTTGGTTTGGCTTGAGATGAGAGGACCACAGGCTCTGGCAGCCCTAGGCCTCTCCTTCCTACCCATTCTCCCCACATGCTTTCTCTCCTCAGTCCTGGCAACAGGGCCCACTTTGTCTATGGCATTGCTTGTGACCACGGCTGCATCTGGGACCTCAAGTTCTGCCCCAGTGGAGCATGGGAACTTCCAGGCACCCCTCGGAAGGTACCTCCAAGTTGATTGCGGGATGGCCCTAGGACTCAGAACCAGGACAAAGTGGCCCTGGGTGTTCCCAGAATTGGAGGAAAGGAGGTTGGAGAGGGGTGGATGGATCTTTTTCCAGCAATCCTATATCATATTTTCAGAGACCAGAACCTCAAAAGTTTTCTGAGAGAAGCCTGAGGCAACAAGCCTCAGCACAGGTCTGGTCTCACCCTCTAGGCTCCTCTCCTGCCTCGACTGGGTCTCTTGGCTCTCGCCTGCTCAGATGGGAAGGTGCTGCTGTTCAGTCTGCCGCATCCTGAGGCCCTCCAGGCTCAGCAGCCCCCAGGTGAGTAGCACAGCAAGGAGAATGGGGCTGCTGTAGCTGTGGCCAGAGCTTAGTAGAGCCTGTCCCATCTCCCCCGAAACTCCTCAAGGCCCAGTTTTTCTAGTACAAAGCCTTATTCAATCATAGCTCCCATTCTGACTTCCCACATTTTGTTCTTGATCTCTCTCTTTAGCAGCCTATGAGTGGTGTTCTCTTTTGTAAATTTATAACTGCACTCTTTCGACACATTACCTTTATCTCTCCCTCATCTCTATTCTCCTGTGCTCTCAGGCTTCCCCCATCTTATTGCTAGTTAATTGGATGTGTAAAGAGCTGCTAAAGGCTGAGGCTGACGGATGGGGCTTGTCTCTAGTCCTGTCTTCAGCCTCTCCTGCCCTCGCCTCCACACATGCACAGAAACACGGTCTTTGTTGTGAAGAGAGGGAGAGAATATAGAGCTGAAGATGAGCAACAGGCAGCTCTTATTTGTTTAATTTATTTGCTTTTCAACTATACTGAGTGTGGAGGAGGGCATCCAGGTTTGAACTCTGAGAAATCCCGTATTTCGTGGTCTGGTGGAGAAGTGGGTTGAGGAGGGAATGGGAGGTGAGGAAGTGAAGACAGAACGCGCAGACAGTATTTCCGGAAGTGTGGCTGTAAAGGGGATCACATAACTGAGGGTGGTGGCTGGAAGTAAAGGAAGGATTTTATTTGTTTGGTTGGGTTAAATAGGAGACAGTAGAGCATGTTTACATGCGAATATGAGAATGAGCCCCTAGGGAGAGAGAAAGTGAATAATGCAGGAGAAAGGAAGGGTAACCAAAGAGTAAAGTTCTGAAAAAGGTGAGAGATGATGAGGAGAGAGCAGAGGGAGGGATTAGCCATTCTGATAGGAGGAAGGATACTGTTAGGTATAACAGGAGTCTAAAAGAAGATAGGGCAGAGAAAGGTTCATACATTTGGTGGTAGAAAGATAGACGTGTAAGGGGAGCTCATTACTGAAAGGGCGGAGTGCTGATCTAAGAGCAAGGCTGATTAGAACCTCAGTCCACTGGATCCAGAGTGTCAGTTACTGCTCTTTTTCCTTCACAGATGCAATGAAACCCGCCATCTATAAGGTGAGTGAGGAACCTGCTGTCTTAGCTGAGGCTCCATCTTCTAGAACCTCCTTTACTGATTCTGTAGTGTGTTTCCTTCTAACTCTGAAAAATCTCTCCATCCTGCTGGATCAAACACTGATTTGAGTCTTAGTTCCAAACAGTAAGTATCCCTAACCCTAGTCCCGTCTCTTCTGTCTCTGCAGGTACAATGTGTGGCAACTCTTCAGGTGGGGTCTATGCAAGCTTCAGACCCCTCTGAGTGTGGTCAGTGCCTTAGCCTGGCCTGGATGCCCACTCGGCCCCACCACCACCTGGCTGCTGGATACTATAATGGTAAAAAACAAAAGAAAACGTAAGGAGCTATTGCTCTTTAAGCTTTGATACATGCTTGTTTTGGGTCGCTGTTTCTTTCTTGATTTAGTGTTGGGCATTACATAATTATAAATATTCAAGCAATGTAAAAAAATAGAAAAAAGTCACTAGAATGTTTTTACTCAGAAAAATAATTGAGTAGACGAACATAATTTCATGCAGTTCTCTATGCATATATAAAGGTAACAAGATAGAGAGAGAAGTAATTCTATAAAAATGGGATCATACTCTATAAGCTGTTTTAAAATAAAAGATATTGTATTTAATTAAACTTTAATTTTACAGATGAAAAAGACAAGTGAAACAAAGATTAAGCTCCCAAAAATGTTCCTTTATCACAGAGACATTAGTTCTTTAAAGATACTTTTAAGATTAAAAAAGAACCAAAAAGATTATAAATAATACTAAGTAGCTGGAGTTATTAGGTGGTTGTTGTTTTCTAATGACAAGTTCATTTTTAGACATCGCCGATAGACTTTATTCTCCTGAGTTAAGGAAATTAGCACTCATATTTCTTCTTATCATCCCTCCCACCATCTTCTAATTCTGTTTCTTTTGGTGATTTTAGTCTTACATTGTCAAGGTACATGATACTTGATGCTGTTTTGCTATCTTAATCCCAAAGTCATTTAATCTTAATTTTATATTGAAATAATTGCAAGTCTCTACCAGTCCTTTTATCTGTCTCCTCCATTGCTGGATTATTTATATTGCTTAGCTGTAATTTACTGTCAGTATGTTCTTTTTTTCAAGAAAAGCTCATAGGTGCTACATTTCCTGAGTTTACGTATAAAAGAAGTTGTAGCTACACATATTTCCCTAAAACTTTATTTATTAAATTCTTATTGTTCTTTAATTCATTTTTTATTTTTATCAAAGTTATACTTTTGATTAATTCCTCCTTTGCCAGCCCGGTTAGGGATCAACTTGTTTTGGGTCAGCTGAGTTAGTTTCTATTTGTCCATTTGTTTTCTGTTCCTTTACATTTTGTTGCTTTGGGCTCCTTGCTTGTTCTTTGTCTTAGAGCAGAGTTGGCAAACATTTCTGTAAAGGTCCAGATAGTGATTATGTTGTGTGGGCTGTTTGGCCATTGTCAGATCTATTCAACTCTGCCATTGTAAAGTGAAAGCAGCCATAGACATTAGGTAAACAAATGAGTGTGGCTGTGTTCCAATCAAACTGCATTTGTAAAAATAGGCCAGCAGACTATTTTTGGCCCCTGGGCTGTAGTTTACCAAATCTGTCCTAGAGGATTTATGTTTTTTAAAAATCTCTTTACTTTCATTTAATAGAGAATAGAGGCTACTGGGTACATTCAACTTACCCTTTAACTACAGGTCCCAGACTAAGCTATCGCTTTTTTGTGGCTGAGAATTAGAACTAAAAATATCAGGTTTAATTTTTAAACTACAGAGAAATGTTGGTTACTAATCATGACCCCTATATCCTTTCATAAGGGATCAAATCTGAGGGTAGAAGACAGAGAAAGAAATAAGAGTGAGGAAGAGAGAACCTGCCTTAATACCTACACATTCTGTTCCTACCTCAGGCATGGTGGTTTTCTGGAACCTTCCTACTAACTCGCCACTGCAGCGGATACGACTCTCTGATGGCTCCTTGAAGCTCTACCCCTTCCAGTGTTTCCTAGCCCATGACCAGGCTGTGCGTACCCTCCAGTGGTGCAAAGCCAACAGGTTGGAGCAGGAGAGCTGTGGAGGTGGGAAGTAAAGCTGGGGTAGGCTGACTCTTCCAGACTTTTCAGATTTGATCTTCTCCGTCTTCCATCTTTCCACAGTCATTTCATAGTCTCTGCAGGGAGCGACCGGAAAATCAAATTCTGGGATCTTCGACGACCTTATGAACCAATAAACTCAATCAAGCGCTTCTTGAGTACAGAGCTGGCCTGGCTGCTCCCCTACAATGGTGTCACTGTGGCTCAGGACAACTGTTATGCCTCGTACGGCAGGATGGACATAGGAAGAGCTCTGGGGATATGCCCTAAGGGTTGGGGTGCAAAGTGTGCCAGATTGTCGTGAGGAGAGGAGAGTCAGGGATTGTTTCACTGAGGTTGAATTCTAGAAGGAAGTGGGGAGAAGAAATGAATCTAATCTTAGAAAAAGGAAGGTTTTACTTTCTCTTTCTCTTATAGTTATGGACTCTGCGGGATTCATTACATTGATGCTGGTTACCTTGGTTTTAAGGCCTACTTCACTGCTCCTCGAAAAGGCACCGTCTGGGTGAGCCCCTCTCTACGAAATCTTCATTACACAGGAAAAGAATTCCTTTACTCACTTAGTAGTGGTTAGGAAAAGACAGTAGTTTTGGAGCGAAGAAGATAGGTTTGTAGTAACTTTATCATCAAAGATATGGGTTATGATAAACTCATTTTTTGTTTGTGTGTGTGTCTCTCCCCACCTGAGACTTCAGTTATTACCAGTTCATAGAACTGAATGAATGGATGAATGGATGAATGAATGAAAGAGATCTGTTTCTTCCTATTAGAGTCTTTCAGGATCTGACTGGCTTGGGACAATAGCCGCAGGAGATATATCCGGGGAGCTCATTGCAGCTATATTGCCTGATATGGCACTGAACCCAATAAATGTCAAGCGACCTGTAGAGCGAAGATTCGTACGTATATGACTATTTAATGGCAGCACCATCTGATGGGTCCTAATCCACGTGACTTCCCAAATTAGTACTACAAATTAGTAGTAGAGTACAGATTAGTCTCCCAGCCCTGATATTAACCCCAGAAGTCTTAGCACAAAGTTGCATGTAATCTTCTCTACTCTAGTGCATCTGAACATATGTTTAAACATATTACTTTCTTCCATCTTTAAGAGTCTCCTGCCTAAAACTAATTTTCTCTCTTTTTTAATTTTATTCTGTCTTCGGTATTATGGAACCTAATCTCATGGTCTCCTTTCTAGCCTATATATAAAGCAGATCTGATGCCATATCAAGATAGTCCTGAAGGTCAAGGCCACTCTTCTGCTTCATCTGGGGCCCCCAACCCTCCAAAGGCTCGAACTTATGCTGAAACTGTCAACCATCACTACTTGCTCTTTCAAGACACAGATTTGGTAAATTGAGACCGGGAGAGTGGGCGTGGCATTAGAAAAGGTAGAAAACTTTAGTCCTTGTATAGTAGGGGATCCTAAGGAGTTCCAGCACAAAGATGCAAAACTAAGAAGCTGCTCGCTTTCCCTCTCCTGTTACAAACCTCCCCAGGGATCGTTCCACGACCTGCTCCATAGAGAACCAATGCTACGCATGCAGGAGGGAGAGGGGCACTCGCAGCTCTGCCTGGACAGGCTGCAGCTGGAGGCTATTCATAAGGTAAGAATCTTAGGTCTCGTCTTCTCCATACTTCACTCTCATTTTCTTCCAGCTCTGGGTCTGTGATCAGTGAAATGGCAACAGAGTTAGCTAAGGAGGGAAAATAGCTCTGGCAGGCTCATCTTCAAGAGCACGATTGATGTACCTCATTCATTGTCTTCTCATTCCTACTTGTCTCACCCCATCATGATGCTCTCCTTTCGGATTGTGGCTCATGTTGTTTGCTCTTACACCTAGGACTCACTCGAAAGCACCAACTATGAGCATCGTTCTTTTGTTTTCTATTCTCTTCACAGGTACGATTTAGCCCAAACCTGGACTCCTATGGATGGCTGGTATCTGGGGGACAGTCGGGGCTGGTTCGGATCCATTTTCTCCGTGGACTCACCTCCCCACTGGGCCATCGTATGCAACTTGAAAGCCGAGCTCACTTCAATGCTATGTTCCAGCCATCCTCCCCTACTAAAGAGCCTGGCTTCTCTCCAACCAGCCATTGCCTTCTGCCCAGTCCCTAATTGTGATCCACATGGGACCCTTGGAATGAAGTCTGCCAAGAACAAATGGCCCCCATGCACAGGCCATAGGAACTGGGGCCTTCCTGGACAGTGATGCTGCCAGGCCTGGACCTTTAGATTTGCCTCTCCAGGACTCCTTAGGTACCTCTCCTTCCACAAACTTCTCTTGTCATCACAACCCCCCTTCCACAGACTTCTCTTATCATCATAGCCCCCTGCGGGCAGGGGGGCTCACTCTCCTCAACTCTCAAGGTTCCTCAGCCTAAAACTATGGCTCACAAGAAACACTCAGGCCTGACGTACGCTTGGGAGTCAAATTGCTCATATTGAGCATATTGTGAAGTGGGTAAAGCTAAGTAAAGGTACTGGGTGTTTTTGAGACCACATGTGAGTGGGTGTTTGGAGAACTGGAAAGGGTATCTGCATGAAGACCCCCGTCTGACTATATTCCAGGATCCAATATGACTGCCTTCCTAGCTTCCTCTTTATAGTAACCAACACACAGGCCCATGACAGGGTGATAGTAATTTATTGGACTGAAGCTGCTTATAATAGTTATTTAAGGAACAGCACAAACACCCTACCAATAGAACAGTGGCTCAGATCTTACTTGCTCCTGCTTTTGAAATATTCCCAATCACTGGTCATCTGACCCTACTTGAACACTCGTAGACAGTCAGGTTTTAAAATATCTTTCTTTATATCAAGTCAGAGAGTATACCTCTATAAATTTTACCATGGGTATTAGGAAATCTAGTCATTCTTCCCTGTGATTGCCCCTTTAAGTATTTAAAAATAGCTATCATGTGTTTCCCAAGACATCTTCTCTAGATTAAATATCTTCAGTTACCTTAACTATTCTTTTATACGTCATGATTTTTGATACTTCATGATACTGTCACATTGTTGACTTATTAAACATGTTTAGCTACTTTATTTCAACTATATAGGAAGTGTTTAGAGCCCAAGTACAGTAATATACAGTAAGTGCTCAACATCATCTATAGGTTCTGCAACTTTGAAATAATGTATAATGAAACCAGTTTTCCCATAGGCTAATTGATATAAACAAGAGTTAAGTTCCTATGGCATCTCATCAACATTATAATGAAACAACGTTGAATGAGATGATGTTATTCGAGGACCTGCTAAATTATAGCTCATTTGTTAGAGTCCTCTTGTGGGATGCTGCAGACTCATCATGACTGCAATACTGCCTCCTAAGCTAAGATGTACCCCAGCAATGGGAAGTAGGCAAATCATAGTCTTGGAATGTATAGGAGTACAATCTGAGATTTGGGGTAAGTAGATGACCTCAGAAACGATCATAAAGAAGAATATATAGCCAGCTGCTTTGAAGGAAGTGGAGATTAGTTTAGTGCCTACCTGGAACAAAGCCCTTTGGCGCTCTAGACTGGCCAAATAAATATCTTGGAACAGCTTTCTGCCTCTTAAGTGTAGGGATTTTTTTTGTCAGAAAATATCCTTTAAGAAAGAAATCAAGTACCTCAGTTCCATTCCTGTACAGAAGAGGAAATGGACCTGGAGACAACCCAGACCATTAGTAGCAGAGGGACCACAACCCACGTCAGTAAAAAGGAGTCAAATGTTGCACCATCCTATTGTGATCCAGCTCAGGTTATGCCAGTTGTCTTTGAGTTGACTGGTAGAGAAGTGCCTTCTGTTGCAGAGAAGTTTTGCTCATTCTACACAGTAGGCCCTTGACACTGCATTATGAAATCCTACTTTCAGTGGCAAAAAAAAAAAAAAAAAAAAAAGATGGCACTTGGGGACCCACACAGTTGAGTCTGTAGATTGGTGCTGGGCAGCCCTGTTCCTGCTGCTGAGTCTCAGCCCTAGTCATGACTGCCAAAAGAAAATCCAGAAGATGCCTTCAGCCCTTGCTCTTATTTTCTACCATAACCCTTTCTTTCCCAAGCCACTCCCTTTCTAACCTTCCCTCCCAATATATCCACTTTATGCTACCTATGGGTTCCTGCGCTTTTCTTCCTTTGTACCTTTTCTGACACTATCCCCTCCTCTTATGAGTGTCCTTTTCCAGCTAAATCCTATTCATCCTTCGAGGTCCTAGCTCAAATTTCACTTTCACCAAGGAGCTTCCCAGATTACTCCAGTAAAAATTATTCTCCCTCTCATGTTCCCAAGAGGGAAGGAAAGAAAGAGAATAAACAAGAGTTTATTAAGCACTTGATCTATTTCAGGTACTTTGCATATATTAATCATATGAGGTAGGTATTACCCCGTTCTACATGGTAAAGATAAGATTCTGAGAGGTTAATCAGCCTGAATAAGATCACATAACTACTAAGTGATGGTGCTGGTATTGGAACCTAGACAGTTTTGACTTCAGAATACAACTTTCCAACCTGCCACATTTGGCCTTATATTTACTAGTGTAAATCCACTCCTCCAGCACGATGTTTTGCATATAGGAGCCTTTAGTCAAATATTTGTGACAATTCTCTTGCTTCTGGTATTTCTTCAGTATCTGTGACAGGGTTCTACCTGCCTTAGTAATAGAAATTGAGTAAATTGGGGCTGGAGTTAGCCAGGTAGAGAACCTGAGAGATATGGCTGCCTACTGAAGTGGGGTCCCTGGATATAATTAAGCAAAGGATATCAGGCTGACAATCCACTGCCGGGGATTTTGTAGGAGTTTCCACCACCCTAGAAAGGATGTTGCACTATACTCAAAATTTTAGAATGTTAGAGCTGGAAAGGGTAATTAAGAAGTCACTTAATCTATTGGTTTACAAACACTTTTAGTCGCGGGTCCCCTTTTTAAAAAGTAGTTATTTCTAGAAGTACTTTTTTTTTTTTTTTTTTTGAAAAAAGTCGAAGTAAAGATTCTATAGTGAAACCCACCCTCACGATCATAACCCCTAAAACTGAGTCCCAGTTTGGAAAAAGCATAGTCCAACACCCTCATTTCACAGATGAAGAACCTTAAGTTCAAGTCTAGTGACGACCAAGCCTGCACAGCCCGTTGGTTAGGAAACCAGTACCTAAATCTATTGAGATTCTGTGATCTCAATGCTTTCCATGGAGGAGTTTACCTTTACGCATCATTTCTAAACGTTATTGTGGACTAAGCACTGAACTACTTGCTACGAGGACGACAGATACGAACAAGACTCAGTTCCATCCATTCAGGAGCTCACAATTGAGGCTAGCGAAGAACCTAGAGATACTAAAAAATTAACACACACGCTCGCATTTAAGCACGGTTTATAGTTTCCATACGGATCCCTGAGACTGAGAAGGAAGTCAGGACCTCGGCCAGTTCCGGAGCGCAGGAGCACTGAGGGTTTATCCAGGTTAAGACGCCCAAACATGGGAGAAGCGTCAAAAAGAGGCAGAAATCGGACCCAAGTGACAAGTATGCCAGGCGGGGTCCACACCAAGACTCGGCTCATTCCACTTGGAAAAGGGATTGCACACAGACTGAGCTAAGCCGCTCTCCATTTACATTCCTGCGCTGGCTGCAGGGGAAAGCCTCCTGGCTAACCAGGAGGAAGGGGCGGGGCGGGGCTCAAAGCGGAAGTCCCTTCGCCCGCTGACGTCACACGGAAGGGGCCGAGCTCGCGCCTAGGTGAGTTGTGTTGTCCCGCGTTTACCGGCTCAAAGCATAAAGCTCCGCCAGCCACGAGATTCCACAGCACAAGTGACAATTCCAGGACGAGGGAGTGATAGGCCCTATTTCTAGTGTGCAGATGGACTCAGGAAGGATGCGGGCCGGTTCTAAGCCTGAATCTGGGGACCGACCAGGCTCTGGGCGAAAGCCAGAGCAAACTTGTTCTGAGTACCTTGGTCGGGATGGAGGTCCCCAGTGGCCCTGCTTCAGGGCTGGGGGTGGGGTGGCGGGTGGCTGCCACCGGTATTCGATAGTCGCCCACAGCCTTCCTGTCTTCCCCGATTGTCTCAAGAGACCCCTGTGACAGGAAGCTTCCCAGGAAGCGTTCCTCCTGAGGCCTCCGTTCCTTTAGGACAGACGTATTAAAAGCAGGAGAGAGAGAGGGAGTGGACACAGGGAGAGTCAAGCGTCTTTTTAATTGTGGGTGAATGACAGGGGTGACCCCCTCTCTTCTTGGCTTGACAGGAAGCATGGCACTCTGGCGGGCATACCAGCGGGCCCTCTCTGCTCACCCATGGAAAGTACAGTTCCTGACAGCTGGTGAGTGTACCTCTGGGACCTCAGTGGAACCAGAGCAGGCTAATTTGGGAGGCAGAAACTCGCCCCTCCACACCTTCCTCGCTTTTTGCTTCTATTCAATGGGTTTGAAACGTTAGCTGTCTCTCACTCCAAGCAGTCCCCAGTCTGTTTTAGAGAGTGAGTCCCCAAAGCTGTTCTTAAAGAAAGTGATATGTGTAGTTGGCCTAGCTGTAAAGTAGGATCTCAAAGTCCTCAAAAAGCTGAGGAATCATCCCTTCAGGATAAAGGCATTGCCCCAGGAGTCCTTAACTTAGAAAATTAACCGTAAGAAATGCTCCTCTAATATTTTACAGTGTGAAAATCACTTTCAACACACATTATCTCGTAGAGTCCCCACAAAAGTCTATGAGCTAGGATTACTTGAGTCCACATTAGATCACAATCTAACAAGTGCTGGAATCAAGAATCTTACCCCAATTTATTTTTCTCAGTATTTTTTATTGCGAAATATATCTTAACATGTGAAAGAATGATTAAGGCATATCTGTACAGTTTAAATATTAAAACTGAATATTCCTATATCAGTACCCAGCTTTGAGACCCCTTGAGCACCTGTCCCTAATTCATACATCCCAAGAGAAAACCACTTTCCTGAGCTTTGCTTATGTCATGGCCTAAACTGGGTGTATCAGACACTTCTTTTGATTTATTTTTACTACAAATCTGGTGATTTAGTAGCAGCCTCACAAAGGTGACACAGTGAGTTATCTGCATATGTTACCATTTTCATTTTGCAGATTAGCTAATGTCAGAGGGGATGGCACAGAGATAAATTTTATAAGGGTAAGGATTAGAAGGACTATGACTTGGGGCAGTGCAAGAGGGAGCAGATTAAGAAGGGGTCTTGCCTATATTCGGAGAAGGGAACAGGATTCTAATTAAGACTATGAGAGGGGCAAGGGACTACTGAAAGTGTAGAACAGCATTCTTGGTAACTGGAATAGCCCCATATCAGCACTAAAAACTTCAGTGGGTTACTGACCAAGGGAAGGACTCTTTTGCCCCTTCCTGGGCCTCTCTCCAGCCTCCTGTGCCCAACCACCCTATGTCCTGTCCTCAGAGTGTCCATCACCCTGCATGACTCACCTGGCTGCGTGTGTGGTGACTCATGCTGGACTGTGTAGCTGTGATGGGAACTGACACGCTGGGCCCTTTGCCCAGCCTCAGATTCCCTTAGGGCCCCTCACTGCCGGAAGGAAGGTTCCCCCTCATGGCTATCAAGAATAGGGAGGGAATGATAGTTCTTGTGTCTCCCCATTCAAGGCATCTGCAGCTGTCAAGGGCAGGAGTTGTAGCTCCAAGAGATCCAAGTGCAGATATGTAGCTGAACTGAGGTGCTGATCTGTTGGTGCTAGAGCCTTGTGGCTCCACACCTGAAGTCTTTCTGAGGCTATGCCGACATCTCAGCTCAGCCCTGAAGCAACCTCTAGATAATACTTTTCTCAGACTTTTTCAAACCTTTCAAACTTTTTCTTCCCTGCTGCTCAGTGTATTTGATCAAACTACAAATAAAGGGAGGAGGTAGGACTTGCTCACCAAGCTGTTTTTAGATTCTAGCACAATAGTTCCTAAAGTCCCATGGGATAGCTTCATCACATTGGAAAATAGAATAGAAATTTCAGACTTGGAGTTAGAAGACCAAGATTTGAATCTCAGAGCCATAGCACTTAGAAGCTTCGTGAACAAGTCAATAACCCTCTTCGAGCCTCAGTTTCCTCATATAGAACTTGAGGGTAGTGACCTCAAAGAATTGATGTAGGGATTATCTCTATGAAAAGGCTTTAGAGATTAAAAAATATTCAATAAAGGCTCCAGGGGTTGGCCCTTTCTATGAGTGTTGGCAACCCAGGATTGAGTTTGTCCTACTTGCCATAAATTTGAACATGGACAGCTATATTAGCCTAGGCTCTCGAAAAAGCAGAAGCTTCTGTGCAGGTACTTTGTAAGGGAGTAGGAAGGACTCCCACGGGGAGAAAGAGGGAGAGCTAATATAAGGATGGATACATTATCAAACTGGACACCGCTTAGGGCACCTGGCTGCTCAGTCCCTTAAAACTGAGAAGCTCTTTGAAATGCCTCTTAGGACTACATAGGTGAATAGTGTTTTTCTGGAGAAAAGAAGAAATCTTTGTTCACCAGCTCCCATCCCACACTGGTCAAAGGTTCGCCACATGGGATGCTAACACCCATGTGCCACCAGGTAGCACATACAAAGTCCCCAGGTGTGGCCTAAGCCTGAGGCAAGAATCTATCAGGTTGAACTGCAGTAGTGGCTGGAGTAAGAGAAAAGTAAATCAAGAAAATCTGAAGTGGTTCAAAAGAAGTGTCTGATACACCCAGTTTAGGCCAAGCCTGAGTCAGGAACAGGGCAGCCTGGGCAGAGCTCTGCTCTGTGTTCTGCAGAATCTGAGTCAGCCTTCTCCCATCCTTTCTTTAGGGCCTTTCCAGTCTCCAGTGGGCCCAGGGCCCAGCTCCATCCATCTTAGGCCACTCTGGTCTTGCTGTGGGAGCAGCTGAGCTTCTGAAGACACCGGTTTCTCTGGAGTCTGAATTAAGCCAGGATAGAAGAGCTCATCCAGTCTAGTCCTGGATGTTACAGAGAAAGAAACTAAGGCAAGGGGCAGGGGATGACATGCACTGAGGTCTCACATCATTAATGGTAGAGCTGGCTTTAGAACCTAGGGCACTTCTCAATGCACTGCCCTGCACTTTGGACTTTAGGGGGCCCAGAATGCTGAGTGTAGCCTCAGCTGGTCCGGGCTTAGACACCTTACAAGCTGCAGAACCCTCCATTCTGTTTCATTTTCTAGCAGTAGGATGGATTCAAGCCAGGAATGGGGAGAGCATTCAGACCAATCCCAGAGGATATACTCTCCCCTTTCAGTGTGTGGCTTCAGCTCCCTCAGGGCTCTGCCAGACCAATACCCTGTGCCAGGCAGCTATTTCATTGTTGGAAGCTTCTGGGGAGGAATGAGTCAATATCACTGCTGGCCCTATACCAATAGCTATACCTGGAGACCCAGGGCTCCTATACTCAAGGACACACTTCTTGCTCCTCTTTCCAGCTTCTCAACCCTCAGCATTTTCTCTTCCATTAACACTTTATTTTCTTGCACAAAAGCCAGAAAAGGAACAAAATAGAGGAAATAAGGAACTTATTCGCACCTGTGCCCAGGAAGGGAATGTGGAAGTTGGGGCTTTTTCTACTAGTGGACAGGGGTTGGTCCCAAATACATCTGTGTTCAGAGGCAGGCTCTCCCCCACCCCACCCCCCGACTCTGCTGAATCCGGTGGCAAGTGACGGCATGAGAACTGGCACTTACCCAAGGGTATGATGTCACGCCCACAGCAGCGTCTGCCTGCTGGGCTCTGTGCCCAGCTTGGCATTGGGGCATCACTGCCCAGCAGCCCCCTCACCCTACCCCATTGGGGCACGGGCAGTATGTCTTTGCAGGCCTCCAGTCCCAACCCCCTGGAAATAAGTCCAAGGAGAGGAAAGCCAGAGCACTGGAAAATCCAGACCAACCAAATATGCCCAGGAAGACTCCCAGAACCAGGGGTGGTTTGGGTCTGCCTGTGCTTGGGGTTGGGGAAGGTGGAAAAAGGAATCTGCATGTCAGCACTTCCTACTCAATCACTTGGACCAGAAATGCAGGCCTCGTTCTCTGCTGGGACCAAAGCCATAGACCACCCTGGAGTTGCTGAGGCTTAGAGGCAGAGGAAGAACCTCTGGGCACTGTTCCATCTGAAATGGACAGGACTGGCAGGGCTACGGGGCTACACACCGCCTACTCCTACTGCTGCCTTTTCACTCGGTATCCCTCGGGCTTGATGGACATGGTTTGGAGGCCCGGAACCTATCTTTCTCAAAGCCTTCCCGGACTATGGGGCTAGAAGTCAGAGAGTGGTTTTCATTCCTG